TGTGTATAGAATTGACAAATTAATATTTGTTCTAGAAGCAAAAAGTTTATTATACTGTTTCCGTGTTACCATTTCATGTGTTTGAAATTCGAAAATTTTGCCAAAAAACCCATTAACTAATTCAAAATCAAAACCGATTTTCTTTTATTCTATCTGGAACATTTCAGTTAATAAATCCTTTTCATTTTTTCGGATTCTTTTCAATTTTTATTGTTTAGAAAATTGAATGGCTTTTAAATATTACATAACAACAGTAATGTACTTTCATTTCAGTGAGTGATGGAATCAAGCGATCCAACCACACCCAAACAACTTTAACCCCACTCTCATACTTCTTTCGCAAAATTTTTTAATTTCCTACTTCGCCACCTACGCAAATTATTTCCATTTTCAATCTTTTACTGTCTATCTCTCTTTCTTTCTCTCTCTCTCTTTTTTTTCTTTTCTTTCTTCTCTCTCTCCCTTTCTCTCTCTTCTTTCTTTCTCCGTTTTCGTCTTTCACTTTATTTTTCTCATTCTTGCATTTTGAATTGTGCTATTTCCTGAAATCCTCATTTAATTTCAGACGTCAGTTGATACGTGGAGGCATGTTGTTGTTGTTGTTCAGTGGTTTCGGTAATGCCTCAAGCAGTCGTTTGCTAGTTGAAACATCGCGGCACGCGTGCGTCTACTTCTACTTCTACTACTACTACTACTACTACTACTACTACTACTACTACTACTACTACTAAAACTGCTACTACTACTACAACTGCTACTACTGCTACTGCTAATACTTGTACTACTGCACCTTTTGTCGTGGTATCTGATGTCAGATCAACTATTTTCACACATGCGTTTTACTACTACTCCTACTACTGCTACAACAACTACTACTACTACTATTACTGCTACTACTAATACTACTATTGCTGCTGCTCCTGCTGCTACTACCACTACTACCTTCACTACTACTTCTAACTTTTCCGAGGCAGCATCGTCTTTCCAACGTAAACAACTCAAAACATTGATAATTCTTTTATATCTTTGCACTGTTCTATTTTTCTGTTTACATTTTTATCTATGCTCTACTTTTTGTGCTTACAAGAATTTGTTTTTTGGATATATAAGGATATAAAAATATGTATGTATAATTAAACACGTGTATTTAGTTATATATATGTATATGTCAATACATATTTATATAGTAATATGTATGTATGTGTGTATATATGCTGCGATTTTCATTAAATAATTGCATTTCTGACAGTCAAAATCCAATATAGATGTAGTTATATATAAATATGTAGCTTTGCATGGATTTGAACTTGGTTAGATATGCAAATTTAATTTCCTGGAAAAAATTTTTGGCTTGAATTCTGTTTCTACAAATTTGACAAGAGTAATGACAGCAACACTGCAAGTTATATTTTTAATTAGTACTTAATATTTTGATTTGTTGAAACCGAATTTTTCCTCTGTTATTGTTCTTCAGAAAATGTTCATCTAAAGTTTATTTATACAGATAAGAAAAATTATTGATTAGTTTTTCTTCATTCGGACAGGCATTCTAGATTTTTTGTGAGATAATTGATGTTTATAACTTTTGTGACAACATTGAAATGTTGTGCGAAAAAACGTCTGGTAGTCGTAAATCAGAGTTCTAAAAATTCATTTGTTGTAGTTTATTGAAACGCGAGCGTACCGCAGTAAATAATGATATTATTGTCCAAAAATGATTTGAGTTATTACATTTGTTTGTTCTGTGGATTCACTTCTTACGACAATTTTGTTTCAAATAGTTTCATCATTTTATGGAATTCAAAATTACATGTTGTCCATAATTTGTTACTTGCTAGAAAAAATATAAAAAATTTGTTTTTATTATTTTTTTTGATTGGAAAAAATTGTGAAACTTGCTTTTTGGAACGTTGAGATACACACGCAGATGTTTCCGCACATCATTTCTCCATTCAACAGTTTCCTTCCACATAGCACACAAAATGATGGCTCCATAACTATCACTCACAATATTTATACCATCTAAAAATAAAAACGAAAAACAAAAAAAAACAAAAAAAAACAAAGAAAAAACGGAAAAATCTTCTACATCTATGCAAATTGCGAACGCGCCCACGTCACGATGACGCTATGACACGTGACGAAAGTTTTAAACTAAAGGAGATTATGCATAAGATCTTTAATCAATCAAGCATGGCGTACATGCAAGCAGTCTGTCTGTCTGTCTGTCTGTCTGTCTGTCTGTCTGTCTGTCTGTCTGCCTATCTATCTGTCTGTCTGCGAGTTCGTCACTTGTGAAATTAACAGACCAATGATGTTAATTCAGTAATTCTTTTTTTAGTACTTGGGTTTTTATTTGATTCAAATTTTAATTTATTTATTACATAAAATGATTTCAACATATAGCGCCATATATTAGTTTTTAAATCTGTTTCTCTAATTAACTTTTTCTATGTTTGGGTTTTGTTTCGTTGTGATAGTTTTTAGCGTTCGTACGTTGAATATGATCGCTTTTGTTCAAACTTGTTTATACTTATACTTATTTGTATAATACCTGACACATTTTTTTAATCTGTTTGTGTTAGTATCAGTTAGTAAAGGTGTGTTTGTAAATAAATTGGTTTATAATTGCATCGTATGAAACTGTTGAATGAACTGTGTACTATTCAGAACGCACTTGTAAGCTGTCTAATTGCATCTCAATATTTACTGAGTTTTGAGACACACAATCCTTAAATATTTATAAAAAAAATTTGTTTCAACAAGTCTAAACAATCGTATTAGAACTCGACACAACGTAGTTTATAACACACAAACACACACACGCACGCACGCACGCACACAAACACACACCACAACATGACATAACACGACAATACTCTGTTCTACACGCATCTTTATTGGTTATGATATCCCCGTCTTCGTCAACGTCAAATATGTGTCACTAGCTATAACCTGCATTGTCAGCTACGATGCTACCTTCTTCTTGCTCGGTTTTCTTTACGGAAAAATAATTTTTTTCACATAAATATTTTATTACAAGTTGTAAATTCAATCTTTTTTTACAATCATTTTTTGTATGAAAAATATTAATTTTATTTCAAAAAATTAAAAATGTTCTATAATTGTTTGATAAATTTGTTAAAGTATCAGTTTTTAACAAAAATATCTTGAACCAACCAATTTTTCCTAGACCTGTATTGTAAATTAGCTTAAAAAGTTAGTTTTTAATTTGGAATAAGAATGAATAAAATAACTTTTTTCCGGTTAAATGCAAAATGTCTGCTTTTAATAAACAGAAATACGTTAAAAACTTATTTTATAAAACATTTTCTTTAATTAAGTGCAAATTTTAAAAAAATTTTTCCAATGTCCAGGCGGTCGATTTATGAGATGAACTTTGACTTTTTAGTGGGAAAAAAATTAATTGAATGCCTATTTTTTATTAATTTCCAAGTCAAATTGTGGTTTTTCATGTTATTGATGTTGAGAATGAAAAGTTTTTTTTGTTGTTGTTCGTTGTCATGTTTGTAATTTTATTAATCTCGATTTGATATTATCGTGTTTTTTTGCTATTGTAATTTGTAATCAGCACACCACACACACACACACACACACACACACACACACACACACACATACCACACACACTCACGCACACAATTTTTCCCTTGATATATTGCTCGCCATTTCGATTTCAATTTTCCAATTTGAAGAGATAAAGTTTGTGTTTTGTTGCTGCTGCTGCTTTTGACGAGAAGCGAGTTTGATGTTTTTGTTAATGTTTTTGATCGTATGTTGTATCTTCATTGATGATGTCATATAATATAAAATATAATATGTAAAATGCTATGCTGACGTTTTCACTTGTCTCTCCGGGATCTTAATTATATTAAAGATATTAAACGCATCACGTCTGCGATAGTAGACAACAAATTTTACGCTAAGATTCGGAAGCGTCAAATAAGGTGCTGAAATAAGGTGCTAATAAGCTGAATAAAGATTCCAGCGCATATTTCTTCATTCATAATTTTTTGTTTTGTTAATTCGTTTTTGTTTTTTGCAATCGTAGCCGCAGTTGTAATAAGAACTGTAGTAAAAATAACTTGATAAAATTTGTCAGTAAACTTTTAAACGTAAATATGACTGACTAGAGAATGTGACAAATGTTAAATTCTTAGTTTCTGTAGTTTTGGTAAGTCTTCTTTTTTACAAGATAAGATGAGTGAAAATTCTCAAAAAGTCGTTGTTGTTGAAGCGTGATTATAGTTGCATGTTGGAATGATGTAGTTGTTGGAAGACGATGAAAGGGTGGAGAAAAGAATGGAGATTACGGAAAGATGGGCTGCCTTCCACTTTCCATGACGCGAAGATGAAACGGAATGATTTATGACTAAGTTGTTGGTTTTTCTTCTTGTTTTCTTGTTCTTTTTTTTGTTTTTTTCAGTTTTGATGATGTTTATTTTGATGTTGTCAACGATGTTTTAATTATTGAATTATAAGTGATTATGATATTTTTTTAAATAATGAAATGTGTCTTTAGTTATCTCATTATTGTTATCTCTTCGTTGTTATTTCTTCGTTGTTTTGTCCATCAATTTGTGCCTCTGTTTTTAATTTTTTTGTAAAGTTTTTTAACAAATTTCACTTTAGATACTTTATCAAAAAAAAAAAATTGTTTCGTTAATGTTTTTGGTCTATTCGTTTTAATTATTTTTAATCAAGCTTTAATTCTTTACAAGTTTTGAAAATTAATTTCTTCTATTAGTTTATTTTTAGAGTGTTGTTTACAAACAAATGAAATAATATTTAACATTATGACAGTTTTATTATTTGTAAATGTTTCTCTTCTATTTGCCAAACTTCCAAAAAAGAATTAACTTGATTAATTACTTCTTTTCTCAACAGATAAATTTCTACCATCAACAACGCCTCAGCAACCACAGCCGCTTGAACAGCAGCAGCAGCAACAGCAGCAGCTGCAGGAACTTCTTCCCGTATTGTTGTTCATACACGGAGAATCATACGACTTCGGCAGTGGCAATGTATATGACGGAAGTGGACTGGCGTCTGCCGGAAACCACATTGTCATCACTTTAAACTTTCGGCTTGGTGTACTTGGTAGACATTTTTTTTTCTTTTTTTCCTGATTTAAAATAATAGTTTTTAAAACTGTGCTTCCAATTTTTACTTTATACAAATAACTGGAAAACATTCAAATAAATTATTTACTACTCTTTTTCACCAGGATTTTTAAGCACTGAAGACTCAAGTGCATCTGGCAACTACGCCCTCCTGGACATCATAGCTGGTCTGAGATGGATCCAGGAGAACATCAGGGCTTTCAATGGCGATCCCGATAGAGTCACATTGTTAGGTCACGGGTACGGGGCGGCCCTCGCTAATCTGGTAGCCACTTCTCCGCTTGTCAGAGGTTCAGTGGATTAACCCTCTATTAATAATGAATATTATATTATTATAATAATGTTTACTGTTTAATTATATTTGAAGGCATTTTTGTTATGTGAACTCTTTTTGTGATTGTTCTACATTATAATTTTTTATATCGTTATGGTTGAATGTCACTAATTATTTGCAAATTTATGTAAGATTCGGTAACTTTTAATTTATTAATGGTTGTAGGAAGGTCGTCTGTTTGTACGAATCAACGTCAGTAAGTTATAAATTATTATAAGTTATAATTATTATTAACGATAGTAAATTATAAATTTTATTTAATTTTAGTAGACAAAATTTTTGCAGACATGAACCTGTTCAGAGGGATCATTCTACAAAGTGGCACAGCCCTGTCCCCATGGGCCACCGTAATGTCACCCTTGCCAGTCACAAGGAGGGTGGCTGAAAATTTGAACTGCTTCAAGAAGAAATCCACATTCACTAACATCAAAGATGACATTAATAACATTAACTACAAAAACAACAGCACTAGCAGCGGCAACAATGTTATTAATCTTGCTAATGTCAATCTAGAACATTCTAAACAAAACGTCAACAAAAACGTCATCAATAAGAATAACATCATCAACAACAAAAACAACAACAACAATAATAATAACAACGATAACAATAATAATAATTACATGCAATCAATAGGACATTCGATCATGGTGCAATGCTTGAAACATGTTTGTATAACATTGTATTTTTATGGGCCTTCATTTGTATTCTTATATGTTTCCATTTGTATTTTTATGTGAATTTATTTGTATTTATTTGTATCTATGTGTATATATTTGTATCTAGGTGTATATATTTGTATCTATGTGTATATGTTTGTATTTTTTATGTATTTATTTGTATCGCTTTGTATTTTTTTTGTACTGAAGTGTATTCCTCATTTATATTTTGTATTGTTTTTAAACACCTGAGTATCCACTTTGTACTATCTGCACCGATTCAAAACTCGTTGTTAAGTTTGGTATGTGTTTTTTAGTTGTTGGTCTCATTCAGTCAATATTGTATTTGAATGCGTGAAAAATTGCTCTTGTAGACTTCTTAAAATTATACATTCATTTATATGGAAACTTAATTTAATTTTATATACATAACAATCACATCCACTCTTTTCAAAAAATATCAATATATTTCATAAAAGTATGTATAATATAGTGGATACATAGTAAATAACAAGGTTTATAACACGTTTTAACAGGTGTGGTAGTGGGTAACAAGTACTGTCAACCAAAATACTTGATAAGACTTAAAATTAACTTGAAATTTAGATTTCAATAACCGAATTATTAGAACATTATGTAAATAAACTAAGAAAAAAAATTATTTAGGATGAAAAGTTCATATCTAAAACGAACATTTTAATTTTAAATTTAACAAAAGACATTGTCAGTCATCAATCTTCATCTGTTCAAACGCTCAGTCTGATGATTGTGTTATATATCGGCATGGCTACCACCACGAAATCGCTTCGTTAAACAATGCATGAAATTGATTGCGCCGTTAAAAAACTAGTTTATGTGTGTGTGCGTGTTTGTGTGTGTTGTGTGTGTGTGTATGTGTGAATGATACAAATGATACAATTCTATACCATCTTATTTGATGTTGTTGTTTATACATATTTTGCAATTCTCTCATTTTTGATTATTATTTGGAAGCCATTTAAACAAACATTGCATTGTTTAGGTACCGTTTGAAGACCTGTTATTTGCTGCATCGGATATCAGCTCGCCGCGGTTTATGTCTCTATTTGGTCCAGTTGTTGACGGGCAGGTCATATCTTTTTCGTCATCTTCATCTTCCTCATCATCATCCTCGTCGTCTACGTCATCATCTACGTCATCGTCATCGTGGAAAAAATCGAAGCCATCTTCGGCGGGCCTGTTGAATAATGTGTCAGTCATGATCGGCTTCACACTGGGAGACGGGCAGATATTTTTTAACGAGTCGATATGGAGGAATGGTTTGAATCAGGTTTGTGTGAGTGTTTGTTTGTCTGTGTGTATGTATGTAATTGTCTGTGCGTGTGTGTGTGCTTGTTTGTGTGTGTATATACGATCAGGTTTCTGTGTTTGAATGTGTGCGTGTAGGTATTTTTACTGCAACTTGTTTGTTTGCATTTGAGTTTTTAATTTTTTGCACTTCGTTCTCTAATTCAATGTTGCAAAAGTATAATTTTTAAAATTCATTTGTAATGCGATTTTATATTCAGTAATGAATACTGTTGCTAAAATTAATGCAAAGTTTTCATGAATTTCAAAATTACACGAATTTAATAAAGTGGGTGAATTCAACCTTCCGTTTCTCATTTAACATTGAAATGCCCTAGTTGGAAAATTTAAATAAAAATATGAGACCGGATTATCTATCCAGTTTAACGTAAACAAAACAACGACACACCAACAAAACAAGCACACACACACAGACAAATATACACACACACGCACGCACACACGCACACACATACACACACACACGCAGGAGCAAATGGCGAAAATAATTCGCACGCTGGTGCACAACACGTTCAGCTACCAGCGGCAAACCATCTTCGACATTCTACTCCACCAGTATAAAAACTGGGACGTGAGCAGGCAGCAGATGACGAAGAAGGAAATTAGAAATTCTCTCTACGAGCTTGTGGGCGACGCCATGTTTGCAAGTCCCGCCATCAGAACTGCCAACCGGTTCAGTCTCATAAAAAGTAGCAGCAGTACAATTTCTAGCAATCAAAAAGACAATTTTGGTACTATTACTACAAACATAAGCAGCAGTGGCGAAAATAGCAACACTTACGACAGCAAAATCAACAACAACAGTGTTACGAGTAGTAGTAATAGTATTAGTGGTAATGTTAGAAATGTACATAGTAGCGAACAATCTTCAAATATCAAAGTTTACGTGTACTGCTTCAACCGATACAAAAATTCAACATCAACGACGAATGCATTCTCAAACGTAAACAACCAAATGACGCGCGATGACGTCATTTCCGGTGGCGAAACATTTCCATTTCCGGTTTTCGGGACGGATTTGGCGTACACATTTGCATCTCCGCTGGTGGGCCACGTCGATCCGTTTGCCAGGGGCGCGTTCGACAGGGCCGACCGGATATTCAACGAGGTGTGGCTCAGATACTGGAACAACTTCATTAGGAATGGGTGGGTCGTTTGTCGTTTTCATCAGGATTATGTGATGATGACTGGAAAGATGACGATGATGATGGTGATGATTGTGTGATGATGATGATGATTGTGTGATGATGATGATGGTGATGATGACGACGATTATGATGATGATGCTTGGGAAGATGATGACGATGGTGATGATGATAATTGTATGATAATTGTGTGATGATGATGACGACGATGATGATGATGATGAGGACAAGATGAAGATGGTGGCGATTGCATTTTGATGATGATAATGATGACGATGATAATGATGAAGAGATTGGTGATGTCGATTGTGATGATGGTGAAGATGATGATTCCTTTGCGATGATGATGTTGATGAAGCTGGAAAAATGGCAGACAGGATGGACTTGTTTTAAACATATTCTTGCCTATTATCTCTAGAATTTCACTCAGACGTTTGAACGCAAATGTTTTAGATCATATATTAAAAATTCTGTTACTGTTCCTTTTTTACTTTTTTAGTATTAAAATATTTTTGTGAGCTTTATAATAAAATAACAAGTTTTATCAAGCCATGAGGAATATTTACTTGATTTGCAGACGATTTTAATTCACGTTAAAGTCGTGTATTCAAAGTTGTGACAAAAAGTGTCTTTAAGATATATTTCTCCCATAGTTAAAAATGACAAATTTAAACTATTTTCCCCCTTTCTTTTCAAAATTTTCCCAAACACATGTACCAGAAAAAAAAAATTGTATAGAGCAATAAATTTTATTTACAATCGCCCAACTTGATTAGTGGATGGCTACATGTGTGTGGCTGAATTTTGTTCTAATGGTAATCACTCCCAGGAGCTTTTTGACTTTTAATTAAAGACAAGCTAGATGGTTTTTGAAAAATTCAATTTTGAATTTCATTCCAGTTTCAAATTAAAGTACCTCCTAAATTAAAATTAAATGCTATGTGAGCGAGTGTATATATAAGCGGAATGTAACCCATTATAATTGCATTCATTATTAGTGTGGGAAGCACATAAATCTGGAAAATTGTTTCCGTGATTGCGTCCTAAACATCTCATCTCATGTTCAACTTTTTGTTCCCATGTTTGGAACGACCAAGCGGTAATTAATTTAGTAGCTTGCAAAGAGCAACGGCTACTGAATTTCGCATTATTTTTTATTAAAGTAATTAATACTAGTGTAATGAAATTTGATAAAAAGCAACATTTTTTTAATTTAAAAATGTTCAAAACTTTTAAATCTGTTTTGCCAAAAAAATTGCTATTTAAACCAAAAATTATAAACAAACTGCTGAAAATAATGATAAAATGAAATTCTATAACAAAAAAAAACAAAATAATAACGAATTAGTGTGAATAAAAATATTTGAAACGCCATGGAAGGAAAAAAAATATCAAAAAATTTACAGCCAAAATGGCAGTTTGACCCAAAAAAATATTCCAAAAATATAATTAAAAATAACTTTGGGAGTCTTATTGAAAGCAAGAGTCACGGAGAGGAATAATATGGAAGTGGACGTAAAGAAAGGAATGGACTTGTTTATCATCGGCCGGAGTGACGTAAGTTATCTTGGTATCGTTTAAAACAGCAGCCCACCATCCAGTTCTTCAGAATAATTAACCGGTTGCCTGCTTGCCTGTCTGCCGACCGCTGCTACTGAAGCAAACGCGAGTGCTATTGATGTTGTTCATATTGCATTGTTGGTGTTAGAATCATGTTGATGTCAGCACTCTGTTGTTGTTGTTGTTGTTGTTTGTTGTTGTTTGTTGTTGTTGTTGTTAATGTTGTTGCTGTCAATGTTGTTGTTGTTGTCAATGTTGTTGTTGTTGTCAATGTTGTTGTTGTTGTTGTCAAGGTTGTTGTTGTTGTCAATGTTGTTGTTGTCAATGTTGTTGTTATCAATTTTGTTGTCTTAGAGTTATTGAAATTTTTCGAAACATGCATTTCGTAAAATTAAAAACCAAAAAATGATTAGTTGATTAGTGTAAGTTTTGCCTCAACATAAACGTGTAACATAAAAGCCATCGTTTGACGTTTCTACTAATTAATTCTTTCAAATTTTTGTTACGGGCATCTGTGGTCTCGTCCCCATCTGTCTGCATTTTGTTGCAGTAACAAATTTCACTTCTGTTACTGCTGCTACTACAGCTGCTACAGCTGCTGATGCTGCTGCTGAAACATCGCAATGATGGAATTGTTTTTATGTGCGCGTTGGGAAGAATTGTCAGTCTCTCGTTAAAAATGTCATTAAATTATTTTTTTTAAATTTAAAAAAAAGAAATTATATCTGTTGCGTTGTTCAATGAAAACAGTATCAAACATCTAAATTGTGTTATTTATCAATTTATCACTAAAAAATGAGTTTAAATTTGTTTTCCATATGTAAACTACAAAAAAATAAACGATTCATATGTTAATTTTTAGGTTGTAGCAAAATTGTCTTGCTTTTATAACGGCAAAACTATTTATTGTAAACTAATGATGCCTTAAGAATTCAGTTCTTTCCTATAAAACTCTTGACAAAGACGCATTTATATCCTTTAACATAGTTTCCTTTTAGCTCGCAAATAAAAGTAATTCATGTTTTTTTAAAGTTCAACATGCTCTTTCGGTTCGCAGCCAAAATAAGCAACTTGTATGTGTGAGTGTATGTGCGTGTGTATGTGTGTATGCATGTGTATAATGTAGATAATAATAACTAAATACATGCAAAACTTAATATGCAAAAAATATTTAATGTATCACTCAATTTCCATTTTTTCCTATTCAGTATCTCTATATTTTCAGTGAGGTAAGTAACATGGGTCATAGCAGGGATTGAATGAAGGGATTGGATGAAGTGATGTTGTATGGTGTAATGCGATGTAATGTGATGTAATATGTTGTAATATGATATGCTGTAATATAATGTAATGTAATTTAATGTAATGTGATGTAATGAATTAATAATGTACGTAAGCCGTGATTTAAGAAAAAACACGATAAAATGTAATGTCACATAGTGTAATATTGTGAAATAAAACGTGATTTTAAGATATTTTGCGATGTTATATGGTAATGATTAATAAAATGTAAGGCTGTCATGGTTTTTTGTTGATGTTATGATGTGATCTAGAGTGTTGGTTTTTTATATCACTTTATATGGTTAGGACGATATCCTGGGAGATGCTACATTTCGTGTTTGATTTTAAACGATGCATCTGATGTTACGTAATGTAATACCAATGTAATGTAATCTAAACGTAATGTAGTATTAACGTAATGTAATATTAATGGATTGTAAAGTTAATGTAATATAACAGTAATGTAATGCAATATTATCGTAACGTAATATTATTGTAACGTAATAATAATTTGATGTAATGTAATGTAGTATTAATGTACTATAATGTAATATTAATTAAATGTAATATTAAAGTAAAGTAATATTTTATTGCATCATTCCAAAGTGCCACTTGCTACTTTCTTGACTTTCTTTAATTACTAAATGGTCCTTAAAACGAAATTAATTTTCAACACGGGGCCAATTAAACCTGGTTAAAAATATAATTTTTTGCTTACGTTAATATAACTTGCAATCATTCTAAACCTTATCTCGGCATCATCATCATTTTACAATTATTATTATTTGATATTATTATTATTTTATCGTCAATATTATCATTATAAGCCTTAATATGCTATCCTTTCTTCATAATTACCCTCTCGAAATTAACTTTTTTATTGAAACTTTGTCAAGCAATGAAAAGTTTTATAAAAATCATAACATCGTCAATACATAATCAAAGTCTTAATTGTTTTCATTTTAAAGAATGCACCTAGCGGAATTAAGAATTGCAAGTTTATATATGATTATTTATATAATATTTTATTTTTAGTATAGTTTCAATTTTTTAAGCCTTCTGACAATAAACTTTTGTTATTCTATTAAGACAAACGCTTGGTTTATCAGTATTATCTTGAAAATTTATTATCTTCATCATTTTTATTTGCCCATAGTCTTCCAAAAACCTCAAGCTATTATCAGTATTTTATATTTTCGTGCTCCTACAATCATGGAGAATTAAGTCTTCTAAACCATCTCACCATTACCATCATCTTAATCGTCACCATCTTTATCACCATCATCTTCATCACCTTCTTCTTCACCATCGTCAACATTATTGTTATCATTTTTCACTACCATCATTGTTATTTATTTATAATCCTTTTCGCATTATCTCCGTGATTATGGGAGCAAGCTTCAAAAATATTTATCATTTTTATTTTATTACCACCATCATCATCACCATTAATCGCACCACGACTATTATCAACATCGTCATCATCAACATTATCATCATCATCATCGTCAACGTCAACATTATTCTGGACAATTATTTTTATCATCGTTATAACTATCATCACCCACATAATCATCATCATTTGTATCAGCAGCACCACAATCATCATCATCATTAAGGTCGTCATCATCATCATCGTCATCATCATCACCACCACAATTTTTGTCATCGTCAGCATTATCTCTGGAGCCATCGCAAATTTAATTCATCATTTCTTCCTACTTTACTTATCCATATTACAATCATCATCATCATCATCATAACTCTACATTACTATTACTATCATCATCATCACAATTATTATCATCTTCACCATCGTCATCATCATCCAAGACATTATCACATATATTATAAGATATAATGATTGAGGCTTAGAAAATCACATACTCATATTCAATGTGTCATGAATGTATATCCAATGTATCATCGTCATCATCATCATCAAAATCATCACCATCATCAACTTCAACATCATCATCATCATCATCATCACCATCATCATCATCATCACCATCATCATTATCATCAACAACATCATCATAACTATTATTAATATGATCATAATTATCATTTGCATCATCATCATCATAACTATTTTTAAAATCACCATCATCATCATCGTCATCATCGTCGTCATCATCATCTTCTTCCAAAATTTCCACCCAGCTCTCCAAACGACAATACAGGATCGATAATAAGGAAACCGAAAACCAACCGCGTTGCATTATCATCAGCATCATCGTCATCTGTACCATCACCATCATCATCGTCGTCATCGTCATCATCGTCATCATCATCGTCGTCGTCTACGTCATCAGTGGCATTCAACGATATGTTAGAGTGGCCTTTGTATGACACCAACAGCCAACGCACCATGCTAATTGGTTAACTTAATTATGCCTATATTATTGTTATTATTATTGTTTTTTGTTGTTGTTGTTGTTATTATTTATATCATTATTATTGGTCAATTTTTTATTTACAGAATTACGAAAATCACAAAATGATAATAATGGTTATATCCCTGATAAGTAACGCAAAGTATTATCAGTTGTTCTCTTTTGTTTGGCATATTTTCGTATTAATTCAGCAACATTAATGATTTTTGTATCTCAGTGTAAACTTTTAAACAAATTAAACATTCAAGGATACATTATAAATGTAAATATTAATGTGTGTGTGGTGTGTGGTGTGTGCGCGTGTGCGTGTGTGTGTGTGAGCTTTTGAGAAAATAGCGGTAGATCATAAAACCTTCATAAACTTCACCACCAGCATTCATGTAACATGCAGAAGCACAGACTCACAACTCATCTTATTATAGGTAGGCACAGCATACATGATGTAAAAATCTGGTCGAGATTGCAGTTTTAAAAACACGCCATCTGTTATGATTTTTTAAAAAGTTTAGTTTTAATATTATTTTAGGTGATAAACTATAATTAAACTTCAATTATTATTATATTAATTTTTATTATAATTAACATACACGAGTGCACAAATACTTAACGTACTTCCATTCAGAACCGACGACCAACTTTCAATGGAAACCTTACTTGCGCGCTTCAAAGATGGCTCTCTGGCTGGAGTTGATCCCGAATCTGCAGCGAACCTCCCACAACTCCGACCACTGCTCCTACCACCAACTCGACCACACCGACAACGCTTCCTTCTTCGATGGGGCACTTACCCCCCTTCTATGCCCTCCGCCCCATCGTCACTATGGGGACCAGAGAATCAGAGATGGCGCGGATGAGTATGCGTTCGATACGGTTTCGAAGCGTGAATACCGATTGATGATGACGGCGAAACCTTTCAATGACATGAACAATCGAGCCGAATCCAAGCAAGAAAGAACTTCACCAAACAAACATTCCAACTCAGAAAAAAGTAAAATTAAAAATGTGAATAAAAACAACAACAACAACAAAGCGCATTCTATTTTCAGTAGCATTACAACATCATTCCAACTGACCAACAAACACTCAAACAACAACAAGCACTCAAACAACAACAAACACGCAAACTACAACGCCAACCACTACATCATTGCCAACGACAACAACGACGACGACGATGAAGACGTTGACGACGTTGACGACGACGACGACGACTTCTATGACGACAGCAGCGACCACGCGGCACCAGTTCAACCACCACAAAACATCAACAACAGCAACCAACAACGACACCACAACTTGCCTCTTGTCGTTGTTGTTGGCGTCGGTTGCGTGTTGTTGTCGGGTAATATTTTTCTATTTATCGCCGTCTACTGTCAAAAAAAGAAAAAATCTCGAAGAAAAAACGTGAGCTGTGACGGCGACATCTTTGGCCACTCAGTCAATAATTATTCCTACTTCCAGCCATCGAGTTCCCAACTACAAGATGACTTGTTGAACAACAACAACAACAACAAAAACAATAACGGCAACAAAAGTAACAACAACAACAATAATAACAAAAACAACAACAATAAAAACACCAACAACAACAACAAAGTTTTGACGAGCGATAATTTATACAACTGCAAAAAGGAGCATCACTCGTCGAGGCTTGTGACAACGACAAATATTGACGAGGATGAAGATGAAAACGGGTTCAATAATGACGTTTGTGAAGATGTCGAAAGCAAAAGAGACGATGTCGACAATCTGCAACACCAGATACAACAACTGCAACAACAACAACAGCAGCAGCAACAAAAACATCATCACTGCTCTCAGCAACAACTGTCTCACTCTTCTCAAGGCAACTCGACAACAATCACCACACTTCCGTCCAAAAGGTATTCTCTCATTGGCTGCTGCGACAACGTACAACAATACAGCAAAAACAACAACCAAGCTTATTTCACCATCAGCAGTTGCGTGAACAGCAGTATTAAAGTAAACAACAACAACAACAACAGTATTGAAGCACCATTCCCACATAACAACAACAACAAACAGTTCAGCTGTAAAGTAAGCGAATATTTTCATCACTCACTATCATCATTGTCTGCGGCGCAATCTGCATCGGGTTCCCCTGTGATACAACAACATCAGCAACAACATCAACAACAGCAACATCAACAACAGCAACATCAACAACAGCAACATCAACAACATATGTACAAAAACAAACCAAAACCTCGCTACTTCAAGCCACACTGCAGTCAACAGCAGCAGCAACAATTCGCAACATCATCAAGCATCGCAACAACTTTCTCCACAAGGCCCAACGACCAGCCTATCATGTCAACACTTGATACAAACTTAACACTGTTGAACGACAACGACTGCAGCCACAACCTCAGCAATACATTGGCGTCGTCGGCTGCAACAACAAAAACGAACTTCAACAGTGGCAGAAGCCGAATCACGGAAACGGAAATAGATGGTGACATTTTGCTTGACAACAATTTTAACAAAAAAAATTTTAGCAACAACAGTTTTAATGAAACCAACGCCAACAAAGTTGAGTTAAAAAACTCATCGAACGACTTGAATGTTGACGATGGCGACGAGGACGGCGATATTATAGAAATAAACTTGACGACGAACTCAAATGCTAACAGTTGTTTCAGCGATTTAACTTCACTAAACTTAAAAAGGGCTGATGTAAATATCGACAACAACAACGACAATGATAATTTAACCTCTCGTTGCCAACAACAACAACAACCTCAAAATTTATTACAAACATTTCAACACCAACAGCCACACCCGTCATCTTTCAACAGCATTCAGCAGCAATCACCGCAGCACCAGCAGCGGCTACAACAGCCACACCAACAACCACAACAATCAAAATCATCCTCACACAGACCAACGGTCTCTTTTGTAATAGATTAGTTAAATTGTGTTCGTAAATATTGAAAAAAAAAATTTTCATAATCATAAAAACTCAACTTTTTATTGGATTTTACATCATAAAATAACTAAATTATTGCGAGATTCATAATTCTTTTTTATTATTTTCATACTAAATTTATTATCCGAATATTAATTTGTCAAATTATTTGACAATTTTTATTCCATTATCTATTTAAATGAACGTTTTAATGAATGTGAAAATAAAATTTTCAACTTCGGCATAAACCAAAACGCCAATCAATTTTATATTTATTTATTCAATTATAATAATTAGATAACAATTAAATAATTAATTATTAATTTATCGTCAATTTATTTTTGTTCGCTAGCTTGATGGATGAAAATTTTTATCATCGTTCATTTGTTTGTACCTTTGATTCCAAAATAAATTGTTCAAAGTTGCCGGCTTTTTTTATTTTTTATTATAAAAAAAAAAATTATTTCATTTAAAAATAGCATACCTACGCAATTTTTAGTATATGACAATTATCGTTGTTTTGGCTAAAATAAAAATTGAATCATAAATTTGTAGCTAGCTAACTGTATGTTTTTAATTTTTCAAACATCCAAATAACTATATTTTTTGTTGTATTTGGAGCTCACTAAATTTTCAAATAAAAATATTACTCGTGCTTCTTTAAATACCTATTCATTATAAAATCGATTTATAAAAACACGGCTCAAATACAACCAAAGAAAGAATTCTAAATGAAGGTTGTGAAACTTTGCAGTAGCAGCGCTAAAACTTTAAATTTACGATTATGAATAATTAATAGCATTTTTTAATGGAATATGCAAAGCCCATCCTAAATACATACACAGACAGGCAGCGGTACGAAACAGCAAGCTTACTTACATCAGAACAAACTTCAATCACACATAATTAAAAATAATTCAGTATAAGAGAAATTATTCATGTATGAAATAAGTAGAAAGGATAGAAGAAAATTTCATTATTTTTCATCAAAAAAAAAATTTTAAATTGGAATCATTATTTCGTTCTGCCTGAGTAAAATGAATCTGATATTCAGAAAATGTTCGAGATACGTGAATTATAAATTCAGATAATTTTCTTGAGAGAGTTCGTAAAAAAGCTTTATAGAAAAATTATTTTGCAAGTCTTGATATTGATAGTACTGAAAATAAAACTGAAAAACCACCAAAGAAGTTAGGAAAATGTGTTGCTGTCGTTGGTTTCGATTGGACAAAATGTCATTTTATTTTGGAGTATTTGCAAACCAAGAATAACTGCATTTTTATGTGAAAAATGCCATTTTTTTTAAATTTTAAATAATCGTTTTTCAATTTGTTGGTTTACAAGTTTTATGTTGATGATGCCAGGAGTAAAGATCATCTACCTAGTGCACGTTTTAAAAAATAAAAAAGAATTAATATATTTTGATTATTAATTTTTGAATACTAATTTTGTTTATTTTAGCTATAATTTTTAATGAAATGTTTAAGACAAGTTTAAACTTGTTCTAAACTTTAAACTTGTTCTATTAAATTATTTAAAATAAAATCCTGCTACTTCTCACCAAACGTCACCAATCCAAACAAAACAAATAAATAAAAACAATCATAACAATAACAACTGATGTTAATCTTAAATTTGTTAAATTTTAATAACTTAAAATTTAATTCAATGAATATGTGAAAATAATGAGTAAATTTAGTTTGCAAATGTTAAAGTTTACGTTTTAATTAATTTAAAAAGTGGTTAATTAAATAATGTATTCAACCATTCAATAAATAAAGTAAGAAAATCAGATTTTAAAAATATCTTAATCATTCCAACAACTTCTTTAAGAAAAATTTATCAACAACATATTTAACAATTCCTTGCTTGTAGAATGAAGAGTTTAAGTAACTCATCAATACAAATCTTATTAGTAACAATGGTAGTAACAATAGTATGTAATACTAACTCTATTGAAAATCTGACATATTTGAGAGAACCCAAGACAAACTACACAAACACATTCATTTCTAATTACATTAAAAACAGTTACACTAACGTCACAAATGATCGTGACATCAACACCGAGAACAATCCCAACAACGGTCAAAATGACATTAATAACATTTACTATTACAACAACTTTACATCAGGCAACATTTATTACATTAACAAAGATTCAACTTCGGATAACACAATCTCGTTATACGCAACATCAACTACGAATTATGATTCAAAGACCACTGAACTTTTCAAACATGATATCAACATAAATAAAAATGATATAGCTAACAACTACATTAACTTTTTCGACGATTACATCAATAACGACAGCGATAATCACAGCAATAATAGCATCAATGACATCAACGATTATGGCGACGAATTTGATTTAAGATCTTCAAATTACATCAACTATTCCGACATTGAAAATTACTCTGATGTAAATAAAAGCAACGAGCAATATTATTATTACAATGGTGGCTACGATGTTGATGATGATAATAATAATGAAGATGATATAGGCGATACAGATGATGATATCACAGACGATCATATCACAGACGATCATATCACAAATGACAATATCACAGCTGATGATACCTCATATGAAAATGATAACAATCATGATAATTTAATCGGCAACAGTACAAAACTTTACTATAACAGCTATTATCAATACGATGAAGATGATGACTATTACAACTACGACGGTTATTATTTATACGATGACGATTACGATTATGCTGATGACAAAACAGAAGTAGAAGAACTATTTAATAAGAACACCAACAAATTCAACAATAGTCGAAAGAACACAAACGCAACTGGATATAAAAGTTTTTTCAAGTTTAAATTCGACTCAGAGATAATAACTCTACCTGTCTTGGACGTAGAGCATATTGTTTCTATACATAATAATGTTAGGAGGCAAGTGCATCTACCAGCTATGAATAAATTAGTTAGATAGCTTTTAAATTGTTTCTTTTTATTATTTATAAAACTCGAATTCTGCTAAGAAAAATTAGAAATTTTCATATTTTAGTATTTTTTTTTATGTGTCCACTAATATTAGTAATAATATAAGCAGTAGCAGTAGAAGTAGTAGTAGCAGCAGCAGTAGTAGACGTACTGATAGTAGTAGTAGTAGTAGTAGTAGTAGTAGTAGTAGTAGTAGTAGTTGTTGTTGTTGTTGTTGTTAATGTTGTTGTAATTTTATTCAGGTTGTTACGGTTACGGCTATATACACATAAAAGATCGAAAGAGTTAACACGTAGAAAAATTGTTGTTTGACAAGTTGCATCAAGAGAGCAATATCATTTATGGTAGGGCGTATGGGATCCATGATGAGATATATATGTGATAGATAGATAACAGTGTAATGACAATAAATTTCCAATTTATTTTCTATCGCTTCTTATTAATAATACTAATATAAATATGTAGAACTTAAGCGTGCATATAAAGTTTTTTAAATAAATTTAATCAAATTCTCATATCTGGCGATATATTTTTTGATAGCGATAAGACAACATGAAAATTGATTCAAGATTAAAGGCATTTTATCTATAAAAAAAGAAAATAATGATTTTGTATTATAGCATGCGGAATATGTAGACAATTGAATATTAATAATTTTTATGTGTAAATAAATTGATGACGACAAATTTATAGTTTGAATGGTGTCATATTTAATGTCATCAATAAGTTTGCCATCACAACAGTTCTGGAACGAAAATTTATCAATCATAGCGAAATTGTCAGCGTCAGGATGTAGGCACGCGTTAACTCCAGTGAAGTCCAAACTCGGAAATAAGCTCCTGCAAAATTATGCCTATTCCACGGGAAAAGTTTTCAATTTGACAGATTTTGTGACTGAATGGGCAAATGGAACTTTCAATGAAAAAGATAGAAGAATGTGTCCGAAGCCGAAAATATGCTATCGGTATAAAAATGTTCGTACACACATACATACATACATACATACATACATACATACATACATACATACATACATACATACATACATGCATGCATGCATACATACATACATACATACATACATACATACATACATACATACATACATACATACATACATACATACATACATACATGCATGCATGCATGCATGCATGCATACATACATACATACATACATACATACATACATACATACATACATACATACATACATACATACATACATACATACATACATACATACATACATACATACATACATACATACATACATACATACATACATACATACATACATACATACATACATACATACATACATACATACATACATACATACATACATACATACATACATAAATACATACATACATACATACATACATACATACATACATACATACATACATACATACATACATACATACATACATACGTACATACATACGTACATACATACGTACGTACAATATGCTATCGGTATAAAAATGTTCGTACATGCATACATACATACGTACGTACGTACGTACAAACATACATACATACATGCATACAAACACATATATACACACGTATACACACACATGTACACATTCAAACATATACAAAACACTCTCAAACACACATGTATGTTTAAAAATTTTAAAAAATGCAAATATATTTTGCTAAATATAATGTTTTTTGATGTGTTTATGGTTCACAACTGGTTTATTCCGTAATTTTAGGTTTTAAAAAAAATTTCAATAACAATAAATTAATTTTTCGCTAGATGATAGAATCAAGCTTAACATTAGTTGGATGTGGTGCAGATTATTGTACGAAATATAAAAATGAAAATGGTGAATCACTAAAGGACGTTACACATTTATTGTGCTTGTACGCTTTCAAGTTTGTGATGCTGATTTGATTTTTTTCCCTACGTAGAAAAACAAATTTTATTAACAGCCACAACTTGCGAAATAACGAATATTTTTTTTAACGATGACAAGACATTTAATAAACTGTTTCACTCTGTGATCTTCGTCTGCGTCACCCCCATCCATAAGATTTTTTGCTTAGTTTGAGTTAAATCATTAACATTTGTATACACTATGTGCATATTTTAGCCTACAAGTTTAGGTATTCATATTTATTGTATTAAAGTTAGTTATACCTCATTATTACATCGTCAGAAATGATCGGAATGGCACGAAGCAAAATTACAGCTTGAATTGGAGCGTGCCTTCGTGCGAGACCTGTTCAGCTGTGTACCACCACTGCGATGAAGGTCTGTGCTATGGGCAGGACAAACTTTATGAACTGCCGAGACTAAATGGTAATATTTTGGTCGTCCTTTGCCATAACTATTATATGTTTTTGTTTCATTATGACTAGTAACTTTATTGTTGAGTTCTAATTTTTACACTCAGTATGTCTGGGAATATACGAGGGATTTTATTAAAATCTGAAATAATATTGTTATGTACTCTCCTAGGAAAAGTATCCCAATTTTATATAATATATCGGAGAACTGACATTTTTCTAAAAGTATAATGAAAAAAGTTTTTTGGTCTAAAATTTAGGCAATTATAACTAATCGAAATACAACCGATGATATGATTTATATTACAATTCATAACACAATTCATATACTACTTCAACAAATCTAGACCTTATTGAATCCCCAGAGGATGCACCTACTAGCAAAGGTTTGTTGATAATAAATTATCGCAGAATCATTGCATTATTGCAGAAAAAAAGTTTATATAGAGTAAAATTTTATTAAAATATTTTGGATAAAATATTTGTAAAGGACGTTATATTTTTTAATACTTCAGCAACATCTTTGAATGATTTTGTAACTTTTCTTCTTCTCATTTACGAAGATCGAAGGGTGCGGCGTATAAAATTGTCTGAAACATTTTCCATACTTTTATGCAGTTTCTATTTTTATTTAACATTGAACGGTTTTAAACTTAATATTTTTTTTAAAAATTTTATAAACTCTGATTAAATTAAAAACAAAAAATATTATCGAATGTTTGGTTATTAGTGAGAAAATTTGGATGAAAATCGGTAAAAAAAACAAAGACAATTTCATTAATAACATTTCAGTTACTTGAGTAAATTAAATGATGAATGATGAGTGAATGAATGATGAGTGAATGACGAATGATGAGTTAAGGATGAGTGAATGAATGATGAAGGAAAGAATTACAATTAGATCATTAGAATCGAACACCATAACCATTGAACAATAATTTTCGATGATTAATTTTTCACTGATTTTATTTTTTATTTGAATGAATTCGATGCAGCAGAACAAAACGTCAGACAAGCGAAATTCTAATAATTCCATGAAAGTAAAGTATTCCATAATATGTTTGAATGAAATGTATAACATCTTCAAATTTCACCATAAACCTTTACTTCGCAGATATTCACATATTCATTTCCATTCTGATAAACAATAACATAGCGGTACCCATGCGGGTGACTGACGCATAAGATAATGTAAGAGGTAAAGATTATCGCCTTTTGCAAGATCTGTCCACACACGTCAACAGGGCCTTTCAAGCCTGCATCAGAATTGCTCAAACCCACCGTATGTGCTGGCCAAATACTGTCCCGACCTACAAATGTGATAACAATGT